GTCGGGCCCCCGCGGCAGGGGTGGCGAGGGCGGCTCCGGGCATGTTGGGAGCACGTGGGGCCACCGCCGCTGCCTCACCCCAAAGTCAGCTTTCCATGAGAAAGAAAACCTTTTTTAAAAAACACAATTTAATTCTTTTGGGGGGTGTCCTTTGTAACCTCAAATTCAAACCAAAGAAAAGAAACCAACATAATAAAGGAATAAAGAAACAAATCAGAATATCTACCCTGGTTTTGGCAGTTCTTATGCCAATCTCCTGCAAGGTGCTCCAGGCCCCGTGGCCTCTGCTTGTAGTTTGGGTTTGGTTTGGGAATGATTATTTATTTCTTATATCATTTTTTTTCCTTTTTTTTTTTTAGATCATTTGTTTTCAGGTCCCCAGGATAAGCGTGAGGAAAAATCAGAGAAATGACGGAGAGCTGCAGCCACACAGAATACCGACAGAGCTTTTACCTGACCCTGCACTCTGAGGGTTTGCTCTTCCACGGGCCCCCCTACCTGATCCTCTTGCTGCCGCCACGGCTGCCGCTGCTACTGGTCCATAAGCCGCTGCCGGAAAACCTGGCCGTGGAGAAAAGGAGAAGGGTAAAGAAAGAAGCCAGCGGGTACCGCGAGTCTCTGCGGGGTGGCCACCGAGGGCACGGCATTTCCAGAGGTCCCAGCTCTCTGTGCTGTCGACAGGCACCGCTTTTAGAAAGAGCCGAGCCCTCGCCAGGTGCCCACTGCCGGTGGTCTCTGCCAGCACAGAGGTGGCCCAAATCCCCTTGCAGAAGAGGTGCCTGGCTGCGGCACGCTGTGGGAGCCGAGGCAGACAGACCGGCAGCAGAGCTTGCGGTTTACATCTCTGTACTCTCAAACGGCCGCGGTCAGACCTCTTCGCAACACAACGAGGGATTCTCTTCTTTGCTTATTTGCAAGTGATAATAACGTGCTGATCTACACACATGGCAGTAATGGAAAACACGAGGAGGTCCTCATGTAAAGATCACAGATTTGCTGGGATCAAGCACAAAAAACTCACTGGAATGTAATTTAAAAAAGAAAGAAAAGCTTTTGAAAGCACAACAGCCGCAGATCAAGGAGCTCTAACGCATACACCCTGCTACAGGGGGACCGAGCCCTAATGGATGAATGAAATGCTGCTGGCAAGATTGCAGATTTAGTTGCTTTACTTAATTAATATTCAAAAGATCTGCCAGAGGCTCTGACTTTAAATATATGTATCTTAAGAGAACAATGGTAAAGTCCAGGTGACCAGCAAGAACCCCAAACCCCCTTGCTGCAAAGTCAACAAAACCCTCAGAGGTTCCTGGTCTCTGGGGTGCTCTGACAGCTCCAGGACAACCCCAGGGGTAGTCACCAACCATGGGATTTGCCCCTGAAGCGGGCTCCAGGACTTTGATCACAGCTGCTTTGCAATGCTGAAGAAGCAGAGAAAACCAACTGAGGCAACAGAAAAAGCAAGCAGCGAGCCAGAGGGACGGAGAGAGCGAGACCCAGAGAAACCAGCAGACTACAAGCCCGCTACCTCTAGCGCTATCGTCTCAGCTATGGGTGATCTACTGGGAGAAAAGGAGCAGAGAACAACTAGGCTAGAGTGACTTGCAGCTACTTAAAACATCAATTAAAAAAAGACATACTTGCATTTAAATATGGTAATAGGGCTGTGGGGGGAAAAAAACAGTACAGGTAAACATATGCACAGCTACCCCAGGCTGCTGGCTGCTGAAGCTCCCCATGTGCAGAGCCCATGCACCACACAGCAAACCCTGTGCCTTAATGCTGATGTGAATCTGTTTGTTTTTATGATATGGATGAACTGCTATGATCTCTGTGGATTGGGATGCAGGAGGAAGCGCATTCAGACTGGGGGATACTATAACCAAATAACCAAGCGCTAAATTCCCTCTTGCTGGTGATGGAGCCACCCACCCTGGTTGGGTCTCCCCCTAAACATCTTAGGGCTGGAGCTGCAACATCCTGGAGTGAGAAGACCTCAGTGTTTGGGACAAACCAATCTCCAACCACGTGTGACGTGCCAGCAGGGAAAGCATCCGCAGGACAAGGGCTCAGGCTCTGGGGCTCTGTTTTCATGCCAGGCCGTGCCTAGGCCAAGCCCCGAGCCTTCCTGCTGTGGATTCGGAGGGAGCAGAGCCGGCACCATTGCCGCAGTCTCTTCTCTGTTCCCTCCCCCTTGCAGCGCACGTCCCACCAACATGTCCCGACAGCAGCATCCTCAGCATTCCCATGGCACGGCCAGGACCAGCTGGCTACCAGCAAATCTCTCATTTGGAGGCTCCAGGGGCTCCCTAAACCATTCATAAGGGATCAGAGGAGCCGTGGATTTTCCACAGAATGAAATGCCTCTGCCAAAACCAATCAAATACCCTTCAAATCACCAGGCATCCCCTGAAAGTAGCATAAAAAACAGGGCTAGAAAGTTGGTTTCACTTGTTCAACTGCCAGGGACGCTCAGTATCCATTTAAAATGCAGGTCAAAAAGTTTTACCATGCAAAAGAAGAATGAAATAACAAGGGTGGAGAAGGCACTCCACAGAAAGAGCCCAAACAAAGGATCTGTTATTGCATTCCAGCGTGCACTGTGGACAGATGTGTGAAAAATTAATCCCTCCACCCCCAAAGAAAGCTATTATCCCAATTCTGAGATAAAAGCATCTACGCGACATGGCACTCCAAACAACTCAAGTGTGATCGGCTGCTTGCAGTCCGCCCAGAAAGTCCGTGGAGCGGCGGTGGCGTGGCTGCCCAGCCGAGACAGAAACAGGGACTGATCATCCTGATTGGCAAAAACCTGCTTACCGATACGGACGCACAGGCTGGCTCCGTCACTGGAGGATCCCTAAATCAATCTGATGTCCTGGAAGCAATCAGTCTCCCCCACCGAAATGACATTTGCCAGGCAGTGCGTTCAGCAGCTCGCTCAGCTGAAAACAAATTTCCCCGTCATGACGCTGCTGAGTGCATTAATGCTGCACGGCGTCTCACAACGGGGCCAACTTACTTTTGCACTTCTGTGGTTGCTTGCCCTGAACCTCTCTCCAGCGATCACCAGCCGATGCTGTCCCCGTATCACAGATGGGATAAAACGCGGCACAAAGAAATGACTTGAGAAAGACACTTGCAGAGAGCCAGGGCTCTCGCAGGTTCTGGTCTCCAGCTCCACCACTAATCTCTGTAATTCCCCATCACGTTATTTAAGCACTTTGGTCACACTGTATTATCACCTCCCATTGTTTTTAAACTTCTACACCAGTGAAGACTTCAAAGAGCAGGACTGCAGCGACAGCACAATTAACGCCCAACCCGCTTTGTGTACTGCGAGAAACTTCTGCCTCTATCGCCCTTCTGCTGTGTTGTCACACCGCTTTATTGAAATTTGAGAGCTGAGCCATCTGCAGCTCTTCAGTGAAGAGAAAAGCATCAGCAGGCACTTTTGCTGGCTTTCAAGCCCTCAAAATGAACTTGCTTTTCCGCGGAACCTCTTGCTGGTCCCCCAGCCCCTGATGGGGACTCCAAGACACCTCTGAGGGCCGGAGCAGGGGGCAGGAAGCGTGAGTGGGCAGAACTCAGCGTGTGAGCAGGCAGAGTCCAGTGTGTGATGGGCCAGCACCATAGTCTTCCCTCAGCGATGCCCAGGAAGCGCAGGCTTCTCTGGGACACAGAGCAGCAGCTTTGGGGATGCAGCACTGCCGGGTGCAGGGGGACCCTGGGGGCCATGGAGGGCTGTGGGGTAGCAGCAGGCTCTTGGTCCCCTGTAGCCGGCTGCCCAAGGGCTTGCACGCTCCCATTTCACCGTTAACAGGCGGCCTGGAGGTAACCGGGTGCCAGGAATGGGCGCCCAGCCCAGAGCACCCCAGTCAAAGGGAGCAGCGACCGCAGTGGGCTCTGGGTCCCACCACCAGCCAAGCATGGCTCACGGCTGGCACCAGCCTGGCTCCCTCCGAGCCCTCTGCTCGCTGAAGTCAACTGGAAAATCAAAAGGGGTGGAGGGAGAGATCAATTCACCCATCACATTTGTTTAAGGTGCTCCGATTCCTGCCTAAACAATCCCCATCCTTCTTTGTGTATTCACTGCTTATCATTGCCTAGAGAAAACAAGATACCAAAGCTGTTCAAAAGGACAAAAGTGCCCACTTTAGGCGTCACAATTAGAAGATACTTTACAATAAATGTTTTGCAATAGGCTTTCACACTGTCCAGGAAAGCCCTGAGGATTCACATCAATTTCATGCTCTCTTATTGCTCCAAACAAGCTAGAGCCAGTATTTGGAGTTCAATTTTTCACAGATAAGTTTTTTTCTGCTTCCTGCATCAATAGTTTTCCTTTAAATAATGAAGCAGCCTCATGCGAGGGAAGACGGACACATCTGGTTTTAAACGCTTTGCCCTAAGGTCACAGATTCAGGCAAGCAACTGCCTTCTCCAAGGCACAAGTAAGTTCGGGAGAAGGGGGGGATAAAGGGCTGGATTTGGGCAGGCAGCGCTCAGCCCCAGCATTACTGAGCAGAGAACGCCGAGAGCCCAGGATTTCATGGATCTTCCAGGGGCTTTGTGAACAAACGTGGCGAGAGCCACGCTGCCGGAGCAGGGCCGGTCCTTACGGAGGCTGTGCTCCCTCCACAGGTCTCTCCCTGCTCCATCTCCTGCTCCAGCAGGGTTGTTCCCTTCTCAAACCACTGACTTCTCCTCTACCCCAGCCTGAAGCTGGCTGCAAGGCAACCATGAGCGAGTGAAAAACACAAGGAACATTTTACTCCCTCTCATGCAGCCCTGGCTTTCTCTATGAGAAATCATTGACTCCTTCAGACCTGCTCTGCTCTGTTCAGCTCCTGAAGACCCCAAATATCTTGTGTCCCCAAGGAACACAAAATCCTGTCCTCTATAAACTGCCAGACAACAGGAATCAAACTGAGAAGTCACAAAGATCGGGAAACTGGTTCTTACACCAAAAAATGTCAAGCAAAGAATTTTCTCTGCTTGTAATGGCTAAAGCACTTGGGGCACACGAGGCTGCGTGCTCAGATTTAGCAATAAGCACGCGGATTTAAAACAAGAATAAAAAGGGATGCTGGGATTCTCATATCATCACCTGACTTCCAGCACCAGACTTTGGAAAAAACTACCAAAATTATGGGACACGCACAGAGAATAAAATAACCACCACCATAAAACTGCGCTGAGCAAGCAAACCCCTTCCCCGCTGTTCAGGGATGGTTTGGAGTGTTTGCAGACATCGGCAGAAGAGCTGAGCTCGGTCTCACAAAGTCACCGCGTCTCCATGGGGCGTTTCAGAGGGACCAAATGCAGCTCCAAGCTGTATCCCCCCAAAACACTTCGCCTCCTACACCCACGGTGCTCCCCACCATGCTGATCTGAACACCAAGCATTTTGGAGGTGCACTTGATCTTCCAGGAGAAAAAGTGCCAAGTGGGGAATATCAACTCATCTGCAGGTTGAGAGGGAAAAGCAGAGGGGGAGACGGACATCCTCTTTTCAAACAACGTTACCAGCAGCTTTGATCAGCACTGAAAAGCTTCGCG